AAACTAACTTTTAAACCACGATGCGCACTGAATCCCATTACAGTTCGTCATTTGTTTTATCTTTATTCAGTGCAGTTTATGGATCTGCGTAATTTCTTAAGGCAGCTAAACTCACTTAAACCAAATAAATAAGATAATATAAATAATAATAAGCACAAATAAATGAGACACGAAACCACATAATACGGATGACTCATTCTTAAAAAAACGGAAATAGAAACGAATACGAAAAGCAGATATTTGGAAACTGAGATTAATTACGTTCAATTTGGGGGCAGGAATGTTTGAGCGCCCCCATGATTACCTAATAGTTATAGAAAACGGGAGAGTGAAGAGAATCATTGGCATTAGCTGAAGCTGTTCAGGTGTCGCCAGGGGCGTTAGTTGTCTAATTTTGATTGACGGCGACGTAGTGAGTATGGAAGCGAGTGAGTGGGTGGATGAATGGGAATGAGTCAGCAGGTGAATGAGTGGAAATGAGTCAGCAACGATGACTAAGTGGGCAGGAGCACCCAAGTGAGTGAGTGAGTGAGGGAGCGAGTGAGGGAGTGAGAGAGTATGTGAGTGAGAGTACGTGAGTGGCAGTAAGTGCATGAATGAGTGACAAGCTCCTCCCCCCCCAACCACAACAATAACCTCCCCCCCTCAGCAACTAATTCATCAGCTTTGGTGCTAACTGAACCAGCTCATCAAAGCTACTTTGCATACCTGATAGAAATATATATATATATATAAGCGAATACATGACATATATACCTCTCCACTTCAGCCAATGCTTTAAAAAGTTCAATATATTCAACTTTGCCAAAATGCTTCTGGCATCTTACCTGAGAGTTGCAGAGAGCTAGCGTTAAGACGCCGGAAAGGCTTTGGGAATATGTACCGTAAGGTCGGGTCGGAACACAGACAGGTTAAAGAGCTTCCTTGTATCTCACTTGCCAGCCTCCAGCGCTCTTAGCTTACGTATCATCACGTATCTTCACACTCACACACACACGCAATCCGGCACTCACGAACACACAAGCCTATACTCGAACAAGCTAAAAAAAACACACACACACACGCTGACTCCATACACAGTTTCAAAAGTAGATATAACAGAGCCCAGTAGGCTCACTAATCTCTACATCAGTTGATTGACGGTTGAGAGGCGGGACCAAAGAGCCAGAGCTCAACCCCCACCAAGTACAATTAGTTGAGTTAGGTGAGTACACACACACACACACACACACACACACACACACACACACACACACACACACACACATACACACATACACACACACACACACACACACACACACACACACACACACACACACACACACACACACACACACACACACACACACACACACACACACACACACACACACACACACACACACACACACACACACACACACACACACACACACACACACACACACACACACACACACACACATACACACATACACACATACACACATACACACACACACACACACACACACACACACACACACACACACACACACATACACACACACACACACACACACACACACACACACACACACACACACATACACACACACACACACACACACACACACACACACACACACACACACACACACACACACACACACACACACATACACACACACACACACACACACACACACACACACACACACACACACACACACAGTCAGTTTCCTAACCGATTGTTCCGTTTTTTCTGCCGTAATGTAACCTGTTTTTAAAACGTTCTGGTTCAAGTACCTATTCCAGCAGGCCATCAAGTATCACTCGAGGCTGAAGGGGGGGCGGGTGGGCGGGGGTAGCAGCTTTTCCGGTGTACTGGGAAGGCTGGACGCCGGTTACCGAGACATCGGATGCTAAACCGGTTGTCGGATGACAGCCGCTGCGGGAGGGTTGAACCGGTTACCAGTTGACAGTTGCCAGGGTTGGTGAACCTGTGAGGTTACCTGAGCGTATTACATATATTAATTGTCTCTCGTATGATGACTTAGTTGTAGCGCCCAGGTGTGTGTGTGTGGGAGATGCAGGTGTGGCGCCCAGGTGTGTGTGTGTGGGAAATGCAGGTGTGGCCCCCAGGTGTGTGTGTGTGGGAGATGCAGATGTGGCGCCCAGGTGTGTGTCGGAGACACAGATGTGGCACCCAGGTGTGTGTGTTGGAGACGCAGATGTAGTGCCTAGGTGTGTGTTAGAGACCCAGATGTGGCGCCCAGGTATGTATGGCAGTCAATGTTGCTCTTGACTGAACAACTAACCATCACTCTACCATCCAATCCAAAAAATCAAAACGAACAACAATTATTTATGCAATTGACTGACGCAACGTTAAAAAAAAGATGTTTACGTCGTGTCTGGCTAGCGTCCAACACGTCATTACGACGCACTGAGCGTTGAGAGCGACGCCCGCGGATTCCCGTCTCGTGACGCGGAAGGTCACCGCCAGGTGGCGTCGGCGGAGGAGCGGGTCAAGTAACTGTTGGGTAATTACTCGGGAGATGAACAGGTGACGCGTCGGAAGCTGCGTCAGTCGCGGGAGACTGCGGCTTGTCGCGTCGCGGCTCTCACGCTAGTTACGTCTTGGAGGAGTGGCACGTCGATGACGCACTTGACTTACGACTTGGAGGAGTGTCAAATGAATGACGCACTAGATTTACGTCTTGGAGGAGTGGCACGTCGATGACGCACTAGACTAACGTCTTTGAGGAGCGTCACGTCGACGACGCACTAGACTTACGTCTTGGAGGAGCGTCACGACGATGACGCACTAGACTAACGTCTTGGAGGAGCGTCACGACGATGACGCACTAGACTAACGTCTTGGAGGAGTATCAGGTCGATGACGCATTAGACTTACGTCTTGGAGGAGCGTCACGTCGATGACGCACAAGACTAACGTCTTGGAGGAGCGTCACGTCGACGACGCACTAGACTTACGTCTTGGAGGAGCGTCACGACGATGACGCACTAGACTAACGTCTTGGAGGAGCGTCACGACGATGACGCACTACAGTGACGCACAGTACGACGATAGACGAAGCAAACGATACCCAGACGACGCACACCCTAACCACGACGTTCCCTCTAACAATTTTACATTGCTATACCATAATAACTAGTAAAGGAATTAACAAAAACCGTTGTAGTAAAGTTTTGTGTGTGCTGGGTTAAATCTTAGTGCTGCTATGACTTGAATCTTTACACAAAAATAAAGTTTTTTTTTAAATGGCGATTTGCAAAACATTGCTCAAGGCGAGGCATCAAGTGCGTAATTGCGTTCCTGTAAGAGCGAGACCCCGTTAGCTCGACCGACATGAGATGGGATCGCACGTATGAATCTGGGGCTTGCATTGACGCGAGGTGATAAATTCACTGCGGAATTCGTTGTATTTTTAATATATAAATTTTAGAATATGTTCCATTCAGACGCAAAATACAGCGTATTTATCTTGAAAATATGTAGATAAGTACATAAATTAGCATATGGGATAAAAGAATGAAGAGGGTGAAGGAAGCAGTCGACAAGATTCTGAAAGAATTGTTAAAGACAGGTTGTATTTCTTTCAATAAGAACGGAAGCGGGGAATGAAGAATGCTGGAAGTGAGAGAGAACAAAAATGGGATCAAAGGAAAGAAGGAAGGAGGAAAGAAAGAGACGGACAGACAGACAGACACACACACACACACACACACACACACACACACACACACACACACACACACAAGAAGACCTGGACAAGCTGCAGGAATGGTCGAACAAATGGTTGTTAGAGTTTAACCCAAGCAAATAATATGTGAATATTGATGTATACGCAAATGTTCTTAAACCTAAGAGTCACTATAGTGCCTCCTAAATCCGTCCCCTGCCCCCTCTCCATGTCAATTATTCTCACCCCCATCCTTGTCAATCATTCCCAGCCCTCCCTGTCAATCCCCCCCCTAGCCATTTCTATCAATCACCCTCAGCCCTTCTGACAATCATTCCCCCCCCCCTTTTCTGTCAATCACCCCGGTTGGATAACTGTTCCTGAAACACGTCACATAAATGTCCTCGACTTGGCTGTTGTTTCCACAAAGACAAGATGTTGTTTAAGATTCGCTACCTGCAACAAAAAGAGCCAAGTAGGACAGGCTATGGTGAGCCCGTAGTGTGTCAATGAGGCAACGAGTAACGCAAGTTACCAGTATCATGATGACTGCGACTTCCGGAAGCCTATAAGCAGTTCTTTTGCACAGATCTGCCATCTTAATTCTCGTGAGTTATAAGCATAAATAAATATATTAAAGACCTTCTTTGTTCGATTTTATTTATTAAATCAGAAGTGAATTCATTTTGCTGTTGTTTAAGTCGTAACAAGAACGGGATGCGAATTATTTATCCGGAAGATTGTTCTGGGTGTAGGTAGATCTGAACCTGTAGCGATGACACTTCCATCACCTCGAAGCTGGATGAAACTCGGAGCTGTTTTCCATCACGTAAATGATGGAGCTCCAGCTCCGTGCGTTAAACAACCTTTCTGTGAAGTGCTTAGTGCAGTATAGTCTCCTGGGTGACTGTCTCGACAAACTTGAGGCTTATGTTGTTTATGAACTGGCCAAATGTGACGATTTCCGCATTTTCCTTGTCGACGTCACCTTGTCGATGTCAATCTCTTGACGTGTCACTGTCAACGTCTCCATGTAGACATGCATTTACTAGCCGCCTCCTTGTCGACGTCTCCGTCGACTCATTTGCATTTCTCCTATGTCAAATTGTCCCTTTGGCTTAACTCCTGTCGACACCTCCCTATTGAATCCTCCGTTTAAATAAATAAGAGCTAAAGAAATTAAGTGTTTGAGAAGAAATCGGGAAATTCTATCCCTAAACACAAACCAAACCCGCAACAAAGCGACAAAAAACGAGGCCATACAGACACGGACACGTTCACACATACCAAAAATAATGACAATAATAATAATGAAAGCATAAGAAAAAATCAAATGAGAACAGTCAGATGAAGGTCCTCACCAGGAATGTACTTGTCCTCAAGGCCCTCACAAGGGTGGGACTTGTCCTCAAGGCCCTCACAAGGGAGGGACTTGGCCTGAAGGCCCTCACAAGGGTGGGACTTGTCCTCAAGGCCCTCACAAGGGAGGGACTTGGCCTGAAGGCCCTCACAAGGGTGGGACTTGTCCTCAAGGCCCTCACAAGGGAGGGACTTGGCCTGAAGGCCCTCACAAGGGTGGGACTTGTCCTCAAGGCCCTCACAAGGGTGGGACTTGGCCTGAAGGCCCTCACAAGGGTGGGACTTGTCCTCAAGGCCCTCACAAGGGAGGGACTTGGCCTGAAGGCCCTTACAAGAGTGGGACTTGGCCTGAAGCCCCTCACAAGGGTGGGACTTGGCCTGAAGGCCCTCACAAGGGAGGGACTTGGCCTGAAGGCCCTCACAAGGGTGGGACTTGGCCTGAAGGCCCTCACAAGGGTGGGACTTGGCCTGAAGGCCCTCACAAAGGTGGGACTTGGCCTGAAGGCCCTCACAAGGGAGGGACTTGGCCTGAAGGTCCTCACAAGGAAGTGTAATCAAAGAACTTTGACTCAAACGCTCATCTATAGGTAAACTACTATCGGTATGATTCATAACTTCAAGCATCATCTTAAACATTAGGGAACTCATCTTAGACCTCTGAGGAGTCATCTCAAACCACGGGACATGATCCTCGTCCCGCGGAGGAGCCACACAAGATCGAGACAAGGAAACAGATCTACAGATTAATAAATGCTACAAAAATCATTGATACACCTGCAGAGAAGACTAAGGTGGATCCCGTGTAGAAAAAATAACACAAAGAGGAATTAAGAGGCGCGGGCAATAGCTGAATAGACGCCATCTGCGAGGAGATCGAACAAGGACCTGGACTATGATCAATAGAGGCAGCGGGGGACACCTGCAGGGCTGGTCACTTCCTCTGATCAACAGTGGGATTGTCATCCCTTTCAGATCGACGACCATTGTGATCGAAGTCGCCAGAGGACCGTGGAGAAAGGAATGGGAAATGCTGAGAAGAAAGCACTGAATCAGTATGAAAGGATACGAGGACTGTATTGAGGCTGGGATAGGTGGACAGAGGGTAGGAACGATGCCCAACCAGTTAGACCATTGGGGATCATACACTGGCCCACCAAGAAGCTAGGGCGTCGCTCAACCAACCAATCTTAAGTGGAGGAAGGTGGAAATTAGTGCTAGATTTTCAGTCTTCATCTCGCGTCCCTTGAGATCGAAGACTATTGAAAGCAAACTATTGAGGAATATATAAAGACCAACACAACAACAAAATATATAAGAATCATCGACTTAATTTCACGGTACATCAGTGTTTTTTTCGTCCCGACTCCTTTTGTGATCATTGGAAGAGCTGAGTTGACGTATTGGGGTACAATTGGGGTACAATTTTACGGGCGAGAGGGAGAGAGAGAGAGAGGGAGAGAGAGAGAGAGAGAGAGGAGAGAGAGAGAGAGAAGAGAGGAGAGAGAGAGAGAGAGAGAGAGAGAGAGAGAGAGAGAGAGAGAGAGAGAGAGAGAGAGAGAGAGAGAGAGAGAGAGAGAGAGAGAGAGAGAGAGAGAGAGAGAGAGAGAGAGAGAGAGAGAGAGAGAGAGAGAGAGAGAGAGAGAGAGAGAGAGAGAGAGAGAGAGAGAGAGAGAGAGAGAGAGGGGGAGAGAGAGAGAGAGAGAGGTTATATTGTTTGTTTTCAAAACCTGATGATAGTGTAGAAAATGATGTTGCGTGACTGTTTGGTTTAGTGAGACTCTATTTGGTCCTGTGTGGCTGTGTGTGGTCCTGTGTGGTCCTGTGTGGCTGTGTGTGGTCCTGTGTGGCTGTGTGTGGTCGTGTGTGGCTGTGTGTGGTCGTGTGTGGCTGTGTGTGGTCCTGTGTGGCTGTGTGTGGTCCTGTGTGGTCCTGTGTGGCTGTGTGTGGTCCTGTGTGGCTGTGTGTGGTCCTGTGTGGCTGTGTGTGGTCCTGTGTGGCTGTGTGTGGTCGTGTGTGGCTGTGTGTGGTCCTGTGTGGCTGTGTGTGGTCCTGTGTGGTCCTGTGTGGCTATGTGTGGTCCTGTGTGGCTGTGTGTGGTCCTGTGTGGCTGTGTGTGGTCCTGTGTGGCTGTGTGTGGTCCTGTGTGGCTGTGTGTGGTCCTGTGTGGCTGTGTGTGGTCCTGTGTGGCTGTGTGTGGTCGTGTGTGGCTGTGTGTGGTCGTGTGTGGCTGTGTGTGGTCCTGTGTGGCTGTGTGTGTGTGGTCCTGTGTGGTCCTGTGTGGCTGTGTGTGGTCCTGTGTGGCTGTGTGTGGTCCTGTGTGGCTGTGTGTGGTCCTGTGTGGCTGTGTGTGGTCGTGTGTGGCTGTGTGTGGTCCTGTGTGGCTGTGTGTGGTCCTGTGTGGTCCTGTGTGGCTATGTGTGGTCCTGTGTGGCGGTGTGTGGTCCTGTGTGGCTGTGTGTGGTCCTGTGTGGCTGTGTGTGGTCCTGTGTGGCTGTGTGTGGTCCTGTGTGGCTGTGTGTGGTCCTGTGTGGCTGTGTGTGGTCCTGTGTGGCTGTGTGTGGTCCTATGTGGCTGTGTGTGGTCCTGTGTGGCTGTGTGTGGTCCTGTGTGGATTTGTGTGGTCCTGTGTGGCTGTGTGTGGTCCTGTGTGGCTCTGTGTGGTCCTGTGTGGCTCTGTGTGGTCCTGTGCGGTCATGTGTGGCCCTGTGTGGCCTTGTGTGGTCCTGTGTGGTCCTGTGTGGTCCTGTGTGTTCCTGTGTGGCTCTGTGTAGCCCTATGAGTGTGTGTAAGCGTGTGAGCTCCCCAGGTTAACGGGTCAAGTTAGGCTACCATGTTCAAGGTATCATTGACGGGTTAAGTAAGAGTCAAAGGTAAGAGAGAAGAGTGTTTGGGCGTCAAGATGCTAAAATGCGACCCAAACACACAAGGTTACGTTGCAGCATTGTGACTTAAGTTGGGTGTTGCATCTGCAGCCTCTCGAAGTGCAAGGACTCTTGGCTCTTCTCTGCGGAGAGGTTTCCACGAGGGAATTCAGTGTTTGAACAGTTACGTGACGTAAAAAGGTGTTATTTTATGTGTGTGCGTGGAATATGAAGTAGGTGGGAGAGAGGTAGTGGTGGAAGAGCAGTTGGATGAGGGGGTCTTAGAGGGGGGGGTCTTAGGGGAGGTCTTAGAGGGGGGGTCTTGGGGGGGGGTGTTATGTTGCTCTGTCTATTTTGTTTTTAATGTTTATTCTCCTTTCATTTGTCAATTCTTTCTGGTATTATTCTCTCATTTGTTTCAGACACTGGTTCTTGACAACAAACACTAACTGGTCTCTGTTTTAGTATTCAGTGAGGCATGAATACAATAGACCCATCAGAATAATAGAGAAACAGCAGGTCATTCTAGGCAGAGCGATGACCCTAGCAGGAGAGGATGATCCTAGCCAAGTGTTGATCCTAGCCAGGTGACAATCTTAGCAGCAAGGTGTCGATCCTGCTCATATGTCATTCCTATCCAGATGTCGCTCCCCCCTATTCAATCCTAGTTAGATGCGAAAATCCAAGCCAGCTCTAACGATCCTAGTCAGGCGTGAAGGTCCTATAGACACCTTCGACGATCCTAGTCAACTCTAAAAAAAAATCGACAGCCCGAATCTATTCAACAACAATAGTCTCGAATCGATTCCAGAGAGATGTGAATAGCTTATGTACAATAGAAAGACTAAGACCCATACCTTGAGGTGCTTCCTTGAGGTGCTTCCGGGGCTTAGCGTCCCCGCGGCCCGGTCGTCGACCAGGCCTCCTGGTTGCTGGACTGATCAACCAGGCATTCCATTGCCTCATTGACGTATACCTCACTCACAACCACTTACTCATTACTCATAATTTTGTTGTTAAATTTAGTGTTAGTTTGAGTAGATTTCTCGTAAGATAGATAGTCTGATATCTGGGTCAAGCAGACTGATATCTGCATCATGCACCCACCGGCAACTGCTTGGTCCGCTTGCTTGCTGTATCGTGCTTCTGTGAGCGTAAAATTATGCAGGAGGCAGGTGGTGAAGGTGGGGGTTGAGGGGGCAGGTGGTGGAGATGGGGATGGACGAGCAGGTGGTGGAGGGGAGGATAGAGGGGCGTGTTGGGGGTGGTGGAGGTGGCTTTAAACAATTCCCTCTCCACCTTGTCTACGAGAAGCTGCCATAAGCGCTCTCTGGGATGTTAAACATTTTCACCCGTTCACACAGTCACCGCTAGTTCCCACTACTCTGTACAGTGACAAGGGCAGTAGTTATGTGGAGGAGGCGCTTACATAGTTGTCATTACGGTGAGCAAGCTCCAGCTCTAGGCCCCCACCTCAGAGCTAATGTACCTGGTTCAATTATAACTCCTAGATTCAGAATTCTGGCAATCTTGCTTTTACAGCTGATACTTGGTGGTCCCCTCACCTGGAAATGATTCTGAACCCCTTTACCTATTTTCCTCGGTATCTTGTATGTCGTGATCATATCATTTCCAATGTCGTTAGTTTAATAAGCTTAGATTATCTTCATGTCTAACATTTTGTTATCTCTATTATCTTTCTTTTGGAAATTATATAAACCTTAGTTTTCATCTTGTGTTTAACCAGAACTTGCAGCTTGGGGTTGAAAGTACCATCCCGAAGCTGCATACTCTGAGACTGGTTTAACATACGTAGTGTGAAGGATTCCTTGGACAGGTTTTTGTAAGGTGTTAAGGAGGATGTTATATCCTCCCCCTATATATTAAGGAGGATGATATATCATAAGGAGGAGGTTATATCCTCCCCCTATATATTAATGAGGATGATATATCATAAGGAGGAGGTTATATCCTCCCCCTATATATTAAGGAGGATGATATATCATAAGGAGGAGGTTATATCCTCCCCCTATATATTAAGGAGGATGATATATCATAAGGAGGAGGTTATATCCACCACCTCCCCAAAGGCCTATTTTTTGACACCTGCAACTGCCTCCCTCCTAGTTTCCTGATGTTGTCTTGTGTCTCCCAAACGTCATTGCCTTTGAGGATTAAACTATAATACCTATTTGACGAATAGGGGTGGTAGGAGAAGAAAATATCAAAGTGTTCAGTGAAGATCCACAAGGTCTTCTCTGAGTACTCCTTATTTTCCTCTCCGAGGCTATGGGTCCCCTGCACTTGCACCAGAGGTGGTACCCCTTTTAGGCCATACAGTTGTGTGTGATACATGGAGATGTGTCTCAAATGTGTCAGCCCTGATCCTCTTCATGCTCGGACTCCTTGTGTACACTCACAATCATCTATTCTCTAACAATATCTACTCTTGTAATTGAGTTGCAAGAGTAGATAGAGTTTCCCTTGCAAGGAGTAATTCCTTGAGTCCCTATTACATTTGATGGCCTCACCTGTGCTACACCTGAAGTATGAGTCCTAATTACCACCATGCGGTTCATGCTTGTTCATGAACAAGCATGAACCGGTCCTCGACCAGGCCTCCTTTCTGTTGCCTGTAGCAGCTTCTATCCCAATCGTCTCGTCTGATGTTTCTGTATTAAACACTTCACCTTTGCTAGTGTTACTCCGCCTGAGACTATTCTATATCTAAAACTTGGCTTCTTTATCCTGTTTTATTTTCCAACGTTGTGAGAGCCAGAGTTCCCAGCCCTTCCTCTCATGCAGTCC